CCCACTGTGGAACAGCATAGATAGAAGCTAATCAATAAGCTAGCGTCATCAATGTACATGCGTTAACAAAGCCATCCCGTGTCACAAAGCGAATTTCAATTGGGCCATTTTAGGTAGACATTTTTTAGTTTTGTATATATTTCATAAAGTCATTGCAAGCTTTATCAAGAGGATTTTCATTCAGAAGTTTATAAAAAAAATATGACTATTGTTCAAGTCACAATGACATTGCAGTTATATTGCCACACTTACTAAAAAAAATTGGCAGAAGGGAGCACACAATTTCTTGGAATTCACAACCACAGATATGCTATTTTTTAATCCACATGCACTGTGCATGTGCTGCAAGTTCTAAAACTGTAAGTTGAGGTCTGAAACACTCCCAAAATTTGCCTGTTTCTGAACCATATGTCTGTTTTTCAAAGTTACATACTTCAATGTTTACTGTGGCCGGCTCAAGTTTCAGCTATGCTGATGTAGACGTACTGAGTTGGTGATCATGTTTTGGATCTTTGCACGGGCGGCAACATTTTCAACATTATAGAAGGAGTTGTGCCAAGCTTTGCGGACCGCCAAGCTGCTTTCATAGCTCGAGTACTCTCTATGCACCTCGATATATTACCCTTCTGTTTCAGGCATTACACAATGAACATGTGAAATCCACGTCGGGAGCTTCAATATCGGTAATGTTGACTCCGACACAGCTCTGGTGAAACCATCTTGAGCACGTACTGCAGGCAACCCACCTAATATGCTGTTTAAAGAAAGCATGAAAACATTTATTGCCTTATGAAAAATTGAGGCTTGGTAGTGAGTGGTATTTTTTTAATGTGTCTTTTTTTAATGTAGCAAACGATTTTTTTTGACACGGAACATGATTTCGAAAGGGGGAGGTGCTGGTTTGTGGAGACCACATAGCCATCCTTGCCGTCTGCAGATCATGAAAATAGTAGTTGTTGATATAATATGCAGACCCTGCCGTTGTTGTTAACACCCACCAAAAAAAGAACGTCCACGCTTATTGGAGGCGTCATAATTTGAATGTGATCGTCTCATGAGCAAGGGCGGATCCGGGGGGGGGGGGGGCCAAAGGGGGCCATGACCCCCCCCCCCAAAAAAAAAAAAACGAAACCAATTTTTTTTTTTTATGTGACATCGCAATAAAGGCAGACAATGAGTACACCACCATCTTTTCCTCCAAAAAAAACATAGGTTAAAGTTGTCAGAAATTGCCTCAGATCGCACCACAGAGCATCTAGAATCCAAATTTTTTTCGGGGCCCTTAAGCGGGCCCCGAACCCCACGCCGTAATTTTTTTGACCCACTTTCTTGGGGGACCAAATTTGTTTTGGCCCCCCCCCCAAAAAAAATTGTGTTCTGGATCCGCCCTTGCTCATGAGGAATTCATTCTAACACCTACGGAATACATTGCTACCAAACACATAGCCATATACGTGTATATAATAACTCCCGTTTGATACCAAACACTGTAAAAAGTCAAAAATTGACAACGGTTTATGCATGTGGGCTATGCTAAGAAAAATTGTTCATTGCAACCAAACACATATGCCCGTCATGTTCCTGTCCACTATCAACTTCACAGTGCCCGATAAAAATCACCGGTTATTCCATTTCACGTGCTACCATGCATGCAAGCACTGTTCGACCGATTTTCCATGCCGTTCCTTCGGGCAGTGTCAGATTGTCACGTAGCAATTTCAGCTCAACTCGCGTCTACTCATTACATACTTCATCATTAGGCCAAAATAAAAAAGTCTCCGGTTTGTGGTATGGAGCTTGCCCAAAAAGTTTTTACCTGACTTTTTTGCTTCAAATGTCGGCTGATGACTACAAATGGTGCCCGACTAAACTTAGTGCAAATATATGGGAGTCCAGAGAGGCCACATAAAGCTTGTTCTCGATCATAACCCCATCTAAAAACACGTTAAAATTGTGCAGCAGCTCATTGATCTACATGACGCCCTCCCATGAAATGTTCCAGTCCCCCCAGCGCCCCCCCCCCCCCCAACTGAAAAATTCCCGGATACGCCACTGATATCAGACGTTTACCGGACAGTGCTCCTTGGAGAAAGTTTGAAAGACTATAGATATCCCTCTACCAGATTTAAATACATCTCGATTTAGTGACAAGAACAGTTGCCGTCTGTGTGTGCTGATGCAAGATATACTATAGCGCACATTATTGTGCATGCACAGTACATTTACATGAACATACATGTACATCGTTATATTTTTGTACTCACTTTCGATTGATCCTTTCTGGATGACCTCTTGTGATATCGCATGCAACGGTAACATATATTCTGTAAAAAACAAATGACACTCAATTACTTTCTATATACGTGTGTATGTTTCTGTGTTGCACAGGAAAAAATGCTCCTGAACTCGTTCAATGTTGATAAGACAATTTTCAGTTTGTTTGTACTTTGTACTGCAATTTCTTGTGTTTAACCAATGATATTTGTTTTATTGACTTAGATTCTTTGCTACTTAATAAAATTCTACTGTACTGATAAAAATACGATATTTCCCAAACGAACTTTTTCCAGAACATTCCGTTTTCCCCCTGTAATTTAGCTTCAGATACAGTTCTCGCATAAAAGTTACAAATGTATCCACCTATATGTATTGTCTAAATATGTCTTTAATCTTACTGTAAATCTTGAATACACTGTTATTACCAATGCCTTTAATGGGTACGTTTCACAGCAGATAGTTCCTTTTTATTGATATAACTCCAAAGTGGAAGCATTTTACTGCACACATATAAATTATGCACGTGTTTAGTGAGGAAATCCCGACCTAAAAAACTGGTGATTATGTCATCATTCTAAAGGGCACCCTTAACGGAACACAAAATAGTGTTTGTTTTCTTTAATTTGAAAACAATGAGTTTAAAATTGACCAAATTTTACCTTGATATTCTTTAACGTGTCAAGGTTTCAAATTCATCCATTACAATTTTGACATTTGCTTCCAAATACTGTGACGTCATCAACCCGGAAGTTAGGTTTTATTAAAACATACACTTATATTTCCATATTACGTTATTTAACTCCACAATTAAAATTTAACTACTCCGAACTAAATCAGTATTTACTTCCCTCGTTTCTTAATAATGACGTCATCAAACTTGTGTACGTAGAATGTTTACTGAAATTTACCTCACTGTTATTTTAAGATACATTTTTAAACAAAATAATTGACTAAACTGGAAAGGATGTAATTTCGTGAATTTTCCTTCTTACATATACATATTCATAACTGAACTTGTCAGTGTTTATTGAAAAAATGCCTGAACACTGCGTTTGTAACTCAACAAACGCGAACCTCCAGTTTACAACATCTCCAATCATATTTACTATTTATAAAACAGGCAACCGGAAAAGTTGTATGAAAAAGACATTGTGTCATATAATGTATGCGTACAGTGTGTTTGTGTTGCCTGTACATCACCAACTTAATTACTTTATTAAATTGTTAACAATAGGACAATGTACAGGGATCAATTAACTGACAATACAATAATGTATGTTGTCATGGATACGGCGCACTGATGAATGGCCATTGAAATCATCTTTGCATCACATTCAATTAGATAAGCTGTACATCAACTGTCTTAATTGTAATATACTAACATACACACCTTGATTACAACCTCGTCACCGCTGACGTTTTCAAATGGTGTCGCCATGATTTCTAGTGCCTCTGCAGCGACATTATCTTTGCTGCCCCTCCTGTAATGATATCTTTAGTATGTTTAATCACCATACCGATGATAGCATTTCTTAACACTTTCCCTTCATTTGCTGCTGCATTAACGAAGAAAAAGACCACCTATGATTGTTCCTTCTTTTTCCTCTTGTTGGGAGTACAACATGTGAGTTTTTCGATATGTATTATACTTGTACAATCATTTAAAACATCTTAAACAAACACACCATGAGTGTCATTAACGTACACAACATTTGCCAATGATTTGGGAATGATCTCTCCAACCAAGAGAATGGTTTTGAAAGAACCAAAGGTATAAATTCGACGTTCCTGTCAGTATGCTCTGACCGTCTTCAGGAGTGCTGAAACTCTACTTGACATCTCTACTGGATGCAAATTCACACTTCTATTTCGAGTTTAGGCACTCTCCTGAAGACGGTCAGAGCACACTGACCGGTACGTCGAGTTTATACCTCTGGTTCTTTTCAGAACTATTCTCTTAGTTGAGAAATTATTCCCACACGGTGTTTCCGCAAGCCATTCTTTCATTAGTATCTCCACCATTGAAAGCCTCAAATCTTATTTACCATTCGATTGCATACAGATTAGCTTTAACATTTATTTTGCTACTGTTATTGTGATAGTTATTGTGATTGTAATTGCATACATTTAGTTTGTATCGTGACCTTGTATTCTTTATGTTTTCTTTTAAAAATTGCCAGAAGATGGTGCAGTTTTGAGTTTTGCTGCCATTTTCTTTCCAAATGGAACATGCACCCTTTGGACCTGAGCTTCTGACTACTAGCTTCCTAAGTTACAATCATTTCTTACCTCCTCCTGCCCTGCGGTACTGGCTCCTGAAACAGATTCCTCTGTGCTTTTGGTTTGCACGCCGTTTTCCTTTTTCTAGTTCCTGTATATATGTAAAAATAAACATCACATTTTGTTTAATTACATTCATTGCACTAATTCCATTCATTGCAATTGTACTTTGATAATGTTGAAACGAGATTATCGAATCAAGTGTGTATATTGTAATGCATTTTACGGAGATTGAATATTTGAAACAAAAATATTCAAAGATTAAACTCAAGTAGGCCTACATGTACATGTATACCTGCCCTGATCACCTCTTTCCCTTTCCCTGAATGTTGATTTGGTGCCTTATCTAGTGGAAAAACAATCAGGAACAATTTCAGTGACATTGCGTCAGAAATCAAATTCAATAAGTTTGCTTTCAACTAGATCTTTCAAAAAGTCCACAATCACCAACCTGTTGTATTCATGTCTTTCAAATTCCCCTCATTGCGATTTGATCTGTCAGTCTCCTTGTCTATGGAAAGAAATAAAAGTGCACAATATCCGTGAAATTGCATCAGAAATCCAATTCAATAAGTCTGCTTTCAACTAGGCTAAATATTTCCAAAAGTCCACAATCACCAACCTGTTTTCCTCATGTCTTTTCCCTCCTTCAGAGTTGATCTGTCAGTCTCCTTGTCTATAGAAAGAAATCAAAGTGCACAATATCCGTGAAATTGCTTTAGAAATCCAATTCAATAAGTTTACTTTCAACTAAATTTTTCCAAAAGTCCACAATCACCAACCTGTTGTCCTCACGTCTTTTTCCTCCTTCCGAGTTGATCTGTCAGTCTCCTTGTCTAGGGAAAGAAATAAAAGTGCACAATTTCCGTGAAATTGCATCAGAAATCCAATTCAATAAGTTTACTTTCAACTATATTTTTCCAAAAGTCCACAATCACCAACCTGTTGTCCTCACGTCTTTTTCCTCCTTCCGAGTTGATCTGTCAGTCTCCTTGTCTAGGGAAAGAAATAAAAGTGCACAATTTCCGTGAAATTGCATCAGAAATCCAATTCAATAAGTTTACTTTCAACTAAATTTTTCCACAAGTCCATAATCACCAACCTGTTGTCCTCATGTCTTTTTCCTCCTTCCGAGTTGATATGACATTCTCCTTGTCTGGGGAAAGAAATAAAAGTGCACCATATCCGTGAAATTGCATCAGAAATCCAATTCAATAAGTCTGCTTTCAACTAAATATTTCCAAAAGTCCACAATCACCAACCTGTTGTCCTCACGTCTTTTCCCTCCTTCCGAGTTGATCTGTCAGTCTCCTTGTCTAGGGAAAGAAATAAAAGTGCACCATATCCGTGAAATTGCATCAGAAATCCAATTCAATAAGTCTGCTTTCAACTAAATATTTCCAAAAGTCCATAATCACCAACCTGTTGTCCTCACGTCTTTTCCCTCACTCCAAGTTGATCTGTCAGCCTGCATGTCTAGGGAAAGAAATAAAAGTGCACACTTTCCGTTAATTTGCATCAGAAATCCAATTCAATAAGTCTGCTCTCAAGTAAATATAGATTTTCCCGGACAATTTTGGAAAATGTGTACATGAATTTGTAAAAGAAGCATTCGTTTTCGTGCGAAATAGAATGAACGTTCCGTATCCCGGTTTCTATTTAACATTTGATCATTCTATTTCCATGAAGGTGCATTCAGTCATAACAAATCAGCGTACGATTTCCCGAATGTGCACTGAATTTAGTATATTTACATTTCATTTTAGCGGCAAATCAAGGGCACATCCGCAAACCTCTTTACCTTTTAATTTATCATCTATCTATTTCGCTAAAAGTGCAGCCGATTTGCTGCGCAGTGTTACTTAACGTATGCCTGGTTAGGCATTTGAAATCATTTATGTGTTAACAAAAGTATATGAGGAATGTTTGATTGAATGTTTGATAATTCATGATGATTGAACTAAACCAAGTGGTGTAGCCTTTTGAAACATACCAATTATTGTAATAAATCCTATATAAAAATAAGGCTGAAGACACTCGTTCTTTTTTGCTCAGCATTTGCCACAATCGCATCATATAACCAAGCAATCGAACTGATAGAACGAGAGAGAACTTTAAGAAATACAGAAAGACTTTAAAATACAAATAAGACAAAGAACCATCAATAAAAAGTTCGCAGATATCCCCTGTAATATGACACGTGATATTTCCCTTTACCGTCCCAATAATATGCCTACCTGAATATTTTGATGGATTTTGTTTTGGTAAGATTTATATCTTTTAACATTTCATTTGCCTATTTCAAATAGGCCTTTGTGTATATAAGATCAAAAACAATAATGATCAGTTAGGCTTGCAGTACATTGATATATTAATGATTCAATTAAAGCTGTATCATGATTTCTATAGGTCTCTATATTTTTAATGAAATTGAAAGCAGAATATGCGAATTTAAATTGTAACATATGAAAACGAATGTTCAATTTAGCCCGTGTCACAATATAACACCGATTTTCTGCGAATTGGATTGCACATTCGTTATAATGGGCAACGCATCCGTCAAACCGAAAGCCTAATCACGTTTTTGTAATCATTTAAATGAAACATTATGCACATTCATTCATTTGAATGAAGCCAAAAGACATGTAATGCTAGTTTTTGCAAAAATGAAACCAGGATACACGTCGTTCTCAAATTCAGCGCCAAATTGAATTTATGTTTTACAAATTCAAATGAACTTTTTTCAAAATTGTCCGGGAAAACCTATATTTCAAAAAGTCCACAATCACCAACCTGTTGTCCTCGTGTCTTTCCAATTCCCCTCATTCAGACTTGATCTGTCAGTGTCCTTGTCTGGGGAAAGAAATAAAAGGGCAAAATTTCCGTGAAATTGCATCAGAAATCCAATTCAATAAGTCTGCTTTCAACTAAATATTTCCAAAAGTCCACAATCACCAACCTGTTGTCCTCACGTCTTTTTCCTCCTTCCGAGTTGATCTGTCAGTCACCTTGTCTAGGGAAAGAAATAAAAGTGCACAATTTCCGTGAAATTGCATCAGAAATCCAATTCAATATTATTCTGCTTTCAACTTAATATTTCCAAAACTCCACAATCACCAACCTGTTGTCCTCACGTCTTTTCCCTCCTTCCGAGTTGATCTGTCGGTCTCCTTGTCTAGGGAAAGAAATAAAAGGTCACAATTTCCGTGCAATTGCATCAGAAATCCAATTCAATAAGTCTGCTTTCAACAAAATATTTCCAAAAGTCCACAATCACCAACCTGTTGTCCTCACGTCTTTTCCCTCCTTCCGAGTTGATCTGTCAGTCTCCTTGTCTATAGGGAAATAAATAAAAGGTCACAATTTCCGTGAAATTGCGTCAGCAATCCAATTAATAAGTCTGCTTTCAACTAAATATTTCCAAAAGTCCATAACCACCAACCTGTTGTCCTCATGTTTTTTCCCTCACTCCGAGTTGATATGTCGGTCTCCTTGTCTATGGACAGAAATAAAAGGGCACAATTTCCGTGAAATTGCATCAGAAATCCAATTCAATAAGTCTACTTTCAACTAAATATTTCCAAAAGTCCACAATCACCAACCTGTTGTCCTCACGTCATTTCCCTCACTCCAAGTTGATCTGTCAGCCTGCATGTCTAGGGAAAGAAAAAAAAAGGGCACAATTTCCATGAAATTGCATCAGAAATCCAATTCAATAAGTCTGCTTTCAACTAAATATTTCCAAAAGTCCACAATCACCAACCTGTTGTCCTCACGTCATTTCCCTCACTCCAAGTTGATCTGTCAGCCTGCATGTCTAGGGAAAGAAAAAAAGGGCACAATTTCCATGAAATTGCATCAGAAATCCAATTCAATAAGTCTGCTTTCAACTAAATATTTCCAAAAGTCCATAATCGCCAACCTGTTGTCCTCATGTCTTTTTCCTCCTTCCGAGTTGATCTGTCAGTCTCCTTGTCTATGGAAAGAAATAAAAGGTCACAATTTCCGTGAAATTGCGTCAGCAATACAATTCAATATTAGTCTGCTTTCAACTTAATATTTCAGAAAAAGTCCACAATCACCAACCTGTTGTCCTCACGTCTTTTCCTTCATTCCGAGTTGATCTGTCAGTCTCCTTGTCTAGGGAAAGAAAAGGGCGCAATTTCAGTGAAATTGCATGCATTAGAAATCCAATTTTATAAGTTTGCTTTCAACTAAATATTTCCAAAAGTCCACAATCACCAACCTGTTGTCCTCACGTCATTTCCCTCACTCCAAGTTGATCTGTCAGCCTGCATGTCTAGGGAAAGAAAACAAAAGGGCACAATTTCCATGAAATTGCATCAGAAATCCAATTCAATAAGTCTGCTTTCAACTAAATATTTCCAAAAGTCCATAATCGCCAACCTGTTGTCCTCACGTCATTTCCCTCACTCCGAGTTGATCTGTCAGTCTGCATGTCTAGGGAAAGAAATAAAAGGTCACAATTTCCGTGAAATTGCATCAGCAATCTAATTCAATAAGTCTGCTTTCAACTAAATATTTCTAAAAGACCATAATCGCCAACCTGTTGTCCTCACGTCATTTCCCTCACTCCAAGTTGATCTGTCAGTCTGCATGTCTAGGGAAAGAAATAAAAGGGCACAATTTCCGTGAAATTGTATCAGCAATCTAATTCAATAAGTCTGCTTTCAACTAAATATTTCTAAAAGTCCATAATCGCCAACCTGTTGTCCTCACGTCATTTCCCTCACTCCGAGTTGATCTGTCAGTCTGCATGTCTAGGGAAAGAAATAATAGGGCACAATTTCCGTAAAATTGCATCAGCAATCCAATTCAATAAGTCTGCTTTCAACTAAATATTTCTAAAAGTCCATAATCGCCAACCTGTTGTCCCCACGTCTTTTCCCTCACTCAGAGTTGATCTGTCAGTCTCCTTGTCTAGGGAAAGAAATAAAAAAGCACAATTTCCGTGAAATTGCATGACAAATCCAATTCAATAATCTTGCTTTCAACTAAATCTTTCCAAAAGTCCACAATCACCAACCTGTTGTATTCATGTCTTTCCAATTCCCCGCATTGCGACTTGAACTGTCAGTCTCCTTGTCTAAGGAAAGAAATAAGCGGGCACAATTTCAATGAAATTGCATCAGAATTCTTACTTAAGAAAGCGGAGCAAAATGTCTCAGGTTTAATTGGAACCAAAATCCTCGAAGTCCAAAATCTCCAACCACTTCTAATCCTTGTTGCATGCATATGATTTTCAATGTGTTTGTCCTCATCTGTTAAACATAGAGGAACAAGCTATAATAAAATGGCCAAAATGGATATTTATCAAGTGCATCAGCGTTAACAACCGTACCATGTGCAACGCACATTACTTCACTGTCGTCACATCAAACACTCTGATTTAAATTAACTATAGGCCTATTTCTAATCGAGCTTGGCAAAAAGCTTTTAGGATAAACTTGTTTCGTTTACAGTTAACATACAAATACTCACAAAAATACTATTATTGTAGCACATTTTAAATGTACTGTTTACAGAAATATTGTGTAAAACTATAGCAGCTAGCCAACATGTTTCATGTACATGTACTAATGTGATACTTCCACCTATACTTTTTTCCTTGAAATACATGTTCAATGAGAACGTAAGTATTGAAACAGGTTCTTCACACAAAAGCATGTAAAGTGTCATGGCAGGCAATTCGTCCCCAATCGTTTGGACTCTGCCAAGATTTTTGACTATTAAATTCGGACAAATTAGGAAGAGGGATTCGTAACATTTCAGATGGTCGTGATTGATAATTAGAAAATGTGATGAGGTGACATACATGAATTACTGACTTACCCATTACACCATCAACAGAGTCAATATCGTCCTGCACCTGATCTGAAAAAATAAACAAATTAAAATTAATAAACCAACACCAAGTTTACCAAGAAACGAAACGATAACAATCATTTCCCATGGCTCCCGATCACATTGTATTCACCACCCAATGCCATAAAAATAGTTGTGCATCCGATTACATGGCATTCGAAAATAGGGTAGGTGGGTAGGGATTTGTTTTTTGTTTTCGCAATATATTTTGTGTACAATCATAACATGGAGGCGTCTGCGTGTGGTCGATGTTACAAGGTCGAAATGTATGGTTGTGGGTGGTTTTTCATTCTCCCAATAAGTTAATAAGGAGAGGGGCTGTCAAAATAGTATAAGTAGGGAAACCGGCCGGAAACACAATTATAATGTTTTTGCCCTATAACTTGCAACATGCATAGAACATCTACACGGCACAAAAATACAGAATTGAGTGTGATGTCATGTATAATGTTTATAGTGTCTGTTCACGCGTCATATAACTCAGCACCGATGTTTCCAGGAACATTTCTAAATTAAGCAAGCATAATTACCTGCGGTTGCCTCACATCCAGTCTGTACTTGGAACACTGTCATCAGATGGTACAAAAAAGAGTATTAGTTTCGACAGGGAACACATGGAACGATATATAGGTAATGCGCCTAAGGCCTATCGACGTAATGGCTTTCTTTACATATGCGCTTTCCTATAGGGAGCAAAGTCGGGACGCCATACGAAGTAGGGACCATCTACCACATAGAAAATCGCGAGACGTCATTACAAAGCATTCTCAAAATGTCTCTGTTTGTGTAACTTCTTTTTTGATAGAGACAATTTGTCTTGCACAAATAATTTCTCAACAATGCCAATTGATCCCGCAAAAGGTAATTTATATGTTTGTTTTCAATTGAAAACATGCACTTCATTAACATGTCTTCGCTAAAATATTATAATTTGGTACGTAACTCCCTCAATTATGAAAAAAAGGAATGACAAATACTATTTAAGTTGTGTATGATTCGGAAACACAATTACACATTTATTTCACAACTATAATTAGTGAATTGTTTTCTAAAGGTGTAGTCCACCATTTGTAATTTGTGCATTTTTTTACTTTGAAGCAACAAAGTGCTCAAAATCGAAAGAAGAGTTCTGAAAAACTAACCTGATGAAGTTTCAGCTCAGCTTTAGCTGTATATTTCAAGCAAATCAACTACTAGGATCTCGATTTCAAATCAAAAGTTGCTGAATCATGTTTTCAATTGGGCCTGAATTCAGCATCCGATACACGTTCTCACTAGCACTGAGTTGATAATTTCCTATGGTGCTTCTTAAGAAGCACCGTGGGAAAGGCCTTCTTTTGTTGATTTCTTTAAAATGACAGCTTGCCAGAAAGAATAATTTTACAGGGAGTTTAGTCCCCTTACTATCTTTGAACCAAGTATGTTTTTCAACAATAATTACCCAAGTTTCTTTTTTTGGATAGCTGCAAATGATGGACTCTGGCTTATACGAAATATAATCAAAATGTAACTGACAGACTTACCCTTTTCCAACTGTTTCAATTGCTCATTGGTGAAGCGCTTGAAGGGAATGAAGGTTGCAAGTCTATTTTTCGGATGGGTGGAATTTGCACGTGACCTGCTAATTGTGGTGTGATTTGAATCTGTATTGAAGAAGGCCTGAACCTTGTCAACAATCATCAGGTCAGTCTTTATCGTGTTCCTCCACACCAACTTGGCTGAATGTGGAATTTTGTGGTCTTGCAAGATTGACATCAACCCGTTCAAATGGAAGGCTAGTCCTGATACAACTGAGTGCTCCGATTTGATTTCCAGGCGTGGGTTGATGGCGAGGAGGAGCTGAAATAAATAAACATAATATCAATACGTACATCTGCATTCTTGATCGGTACAATTTGTATTTTATTGATGAAAAAAAGAAGTGAAGCACAAATTGATACAAAACCAATTTGGCCAGAAAAAGAAATACAATTTGTAACATGGAAAACTATATAAAACAACAAATATGTATATATGCAAATCAAGACCAATTAATAACAAACAATAATGTCTTTTCCGACTTGCGGTCCAAAAAAACAAATCAAAAAAATAAGAATAAGCTTACCTTCCCCACGCACTCAGCATCCGTGGCCTTCAAAATGACCGTTGGAATGTCAAACTCTGGGTGACTTGGCGATGAAAGGGCTGAAGGTGAATGGCTCACTGGATGAACAGTCTGGTATCTCTGTATACCATGCGGGGCGATGACCTCCCTTAAATGCACCTCAGCCGCTTCCACTGGTACATTCGGAAGGGAAGCTCTGGCAATAAGCTGAAACAAAAGACAAAATAAATTTAAGCAGCACGTATACAACTACAACTTAACAGTGAACAAACATGCCTTGAAGTTTTGCATGGTGGGTGGAAAAAGATAAAGAGTAAATTACTGGTTACGCCACAGTTTCTTCTTGTGAAAATGTGATTGTGAAGAGAACCGGTTGGTTGAGTGTAAATTGACGTTTGGAAAATGTGCTCTGTATATAGAATGTTCTCTTCACAATCACATTTTCACCGGAAGAGGTGTTACCCACAATGTACTGTACCTAAGTAAACAATTATTAAATAACAGTAAGGTTTTGAAAAAAGTGCTTGCTGAAGCAGGGCAACGCAAGGGTTCATGAGCTATTTGCCTCCCAGTCACACCATTTCTCTTAAAATTATTTGATGTGAGTGTAGTGCTGTGGCCTCGTGGTTAAGGGCACTGGATTCATGGTCTGTGGGTAAAGCTGCGGGTTGTGGGTTCGAGTCCAACCGTGGTCACGGTACGTGTGCCCTTCAGCAAGGCACTTTGTCACTCATCGCTTCTTTCCCCCCAGGGGTAAATGGGTACTGGTGAGGGCAGAGATGGTTATTGTGATTGATTTAGCTTGCATGGCCTAACAGGCAGCATCGAGCTGTATACTCCCCAGGGAGCTGAGATGGTATTTGGAATGTTAAATTGGCCCAATGATCATGGGTAATAATAACACTGTAAGCACTGTGATTTAGTGTACTAAAAATAGCGTTCTTAAATGCCGATTATTATTATTATGTAATAACACCCTCATAAACGTTTCATTTATATCGCTTTTTCTTCAAGTGATTTGCGTTTTCTTTGTCTTTGTCTTAACATTTCATCTGGCCATTCAGTGGCGCAACCGGGGTGGGGGGGGGGGGGGGGGTTTGCCGGGGGAAGCTTGAACTCCCCCCCCCCCGGAGAATTTTTTTGTGGTAATTTGTTTTTTTAGACCCACAATTTGACCTTGGTGATATGTATGAGGCCTGTTTTCGACTATTATATAATTTTTTTCTAGGTCAAAATTTTGTGGGCAACATTTTCGGGGAAAAAAGGAGCCCCCCCCCCAGCCCAATCCTAGGTGCGCCACTGCGGCCATTGGCTGGGGAAACGGAACATACAGCATAAGCAAAGTTATTTTTCCCAACACATTATTAATGCGACAACGGTCTAAGCTACAATTCTACAAAAATATAGAAGGAAAACACGGTCTTCCAAATTTACATACAGCTTCTGTTACGAAAAGCAGCACAGCATAGCACAAGTAGATTCTATCCTCACACTCAAGACCCTTCGTTGCCGATTGAACTTTTGACTTGTACTCGGTGAGGATATTGAAGCTGTTCTCTGCAATGTCTCTGCCCAAGCTTATCAACACAGGCAAGGTATGTACCGCGCAGTCTTCGATCTTGTTGCGATGCAACTCTGCTTCACTCTGGCGAGGGCCGCCCTGCCTGTTAGCCTTTACAAAAGGGACCATAACTGCTCGAGACATTGCCCTAATAAAAAAAATACAGTTATTACTATTACATTACTGAGGCATGCCCTAGTTAGCAATCATTGTCTAATGCTACATTGCAAAATGTGGCCGCCAATTGGATTTGACATATTATTTTCTTGGCCTTGTGCTTTTCTTGATAATGTGGCACCATTACTTGGAAATAACATTTTAAAGCGCCTTCATCTTTAAAACGACTAATGAAATATTATAGATGTCTCGATTTTTTTTGATGGAATATCTAATTAAACTCACAATCAAAATAATAATTGCTTAATTAACAACTACATTTGAACATTTGTGTTGCTGGGTGTCAAGTCCAAAATGCACGGGCATTATTGTCATCTTCAAGTGAAAATTCCAGCGGCTAAAATAATTAAGTGGTATCTATTTATTGAATTGAGATTTTGAAAGTTTTTTGTTGGGGACGGTGTCGCGCACTTCAAACTTGGATGCATTTTTTTATTCGTTTTAAATTAAAAGGCTGGATTGGCATATGAATTTATCACGGTAATACTAAATATGTACAAAATACGTAATGTTTGGCAACTTTTTGTGTTCTTGAGTAAACAACACTATACCAAAATGCAACTCAGTCACTACAATATAGCAATTAATGCAGTAAACGTTAACCTATATAGATGAGAATAAAATCCTGTACACGTACCTAGCATTGCCGGCAAATTTGTCGATTGCAAACCAATTTGCAGTGAAAACAGGGCAGGTGCGTGGCTCGTTCTCCCCCGCACAAGTTGCATCTACTCCTCCATTGAAGTACTTGGTTAGCAGCGACTCAATGTCCTTTCCCTCCACGTCGTCGATCATGACGGGAAAGGAGGAGCTTGATGTTTGTCTTGGCAAGTACCGTTCACGTGTATAGCCCAGAATACGGTGCAGCCCCATCATGCGGGATGCCATGCGACAGGCAGTTGTTTTTCCTGTTGACGAAGTGGAATGTTTTTAGGATCGGCGGTGGCGGATGGGGGGGGGGGGGGGCATATAGCCCACTTGCTTAACCCATACTTGCAGTCCCCCCCCCCCCTCGTTATCACCCAACACTTATCATGTTCTTTAAAAGGTGTAACTGATGTTGATGCTTATGCCTTGGCCTACACAATATTGACACTTACAAGTATTAAAAGGTTTTAATAATGAATAAATAGATAGTATATTCAGATTCAGTATTCAACAAATCAGGTGTGCCGACACAAATTACACCATTGCCAAAATGCAACAGGGCTTTCAGGATTACCCAGACCATGTAGTAGACGTGGGTGCTCTAAATGTCTCTTGTTATTTCAACACCTCTCCAAAAACTCTTATATGGTTTGATACAAAATTGCATATAGGGTGAGTATTAAAATACCCAATTTGAAAAAAAGGATATTTGTAAAATATTCGGCCTACTCCATTGCACCAAAAAAATCATAGGAAGTAATTTTAAGCGATTTTTAACAGTGACAGTTGCGCGTAATTTGCATACTCTATAACCAAATAATGTCTGTTTTGATAAGAAGATCACAAAACTCGACAGCAGTGCCCACCACGGAACATGCCTATTAATTGAGTACAATGTATAATGAAACGTGGACGTGTTATCTGTAATACTCACACAGCTAGCTTCCAATGGCATTCCATAGACAGCTATAAGACCTCGGTTCTTGTAATTAATAAAACGTTCATAACTCCGGAAAGCATGGATCAATTTCAGTAATTTTTGGAGATGATTGGAAGACGACGCTCTTACAGATATTGGTGTTTCAAATCTAATTGCGTTGTAAAATAAAAAAAAATTAAAAAATCCCTAATGCGGGTTAACTCGCTTTTGACTCATCCTGCACGGATCAACACAGGCTATACTAAAATGATTCATAACAAACCTGTGTTTACGTCTCCCACGATTATTGGGATCGGGCAGCATTTGAACGTGTTAACCACTGTCTCGTAGTGCATGCACATGCACACACTTGCTGTAAAAGATGCAAATTATACCATTTATTGTTGGGAAGATGATGGCACTAATTAATAAACTTTGAAATGGTGTTGATTTAAAAGTAGCACTATTGTTAGTCAATTGACTGTCATGAAATAAAGCATTGCAACTTATAAATCTTCGGTATCATTGATTTAAAAAACCAAGTCAAATTTATCATACATCATGGAATCTGCCCACTGCGTATATGGCCAGCGGCGGTAGGGGAGGGGGGTCTAAGGGGGAATTGAACCCCCCCCCCCACACACACACACACACACACAATATATATTGTAAAGACTGCCCTTTTCTATTGCATTTCAGTATTGAACATGCGCTCATGTTTTGTCACATTTTCTTTTCAATAATTTTTAAAAGGTCGGTTTGGAATAATCAAGAAATATTACCCCCATTTCTTTTACATGTAGTAAGATGATGCAAAAATTGCAAATGTTTTAATATTGACCAGGCACTTGTTATAGGTCATTGTCATGTTCAGACCAAATTACTCAAATAAGAATGAAATTAAACAGGATTTCGGAGTTAAAAATGAAGCCTATCTTAATCCTGATGATGATGAAAATACGAAGACACAACAAGACAAATCTAACTTAAAATATGTCACTTTTAAGTCCAGTTCAAGTTAAAGTTTATTTTCATGTTTTTAAATAGGCCTACAACTTACAAGACCACGACAAAAAGTATCCATGTCAGAGTGCCGGGAAAAAATGTTAGAAAGGTACATGCTTAAAAAATAGCATGGTTTACATGGTTTACTTCAGATATGTAGGCATTTACTGAACTCACCGATTGCAAATATAGCAGATAAAGCATTTTCATGCAGAGATCGGAAGAGCACATCAAACACATCGTGCAGCTGCTCTGTGGGGGCCTCGAACGAAGGTGGAAGCTCAAGGAGTTGGCTGCCACTGGATGCGCCGCTCAAAAGGCTGTTAACCCACACGTATTTTTGATCATGTCGACTGATCACCTTTCCCTTTCCGTCAAGCTGCATTTCAGGAGACAGCATCCAAACATCTGCGCCGGGCTGCTTTCCAATGCAGCTCGCCGCAACTTTGTTCATGCCGATGTTCTCTGCCATGCACCTTCTGCATACAGCATAACGAAAGAGGCAAACAAAATTGAAAGTGTATTTTTGGGGAGAGGATCTCATTATTAAACCGCTGGTGACGATAGCGGTATGTTTTTGAGCTTTTCACCAATCCGTCTATATTCTTGACAAACCGTGATGTATTCGTAGAGAAACCTCAGGACAGTCGTGGCTATCCGTCCTGAAACCGTATGATTAGTGCATTTTGAGAGGGCCGATTTCTCCACGAATCTCATCGTGATCGATTGATTCTTCTTAAACCATGGATATATATGTAGCTCCAATCGTGAATGTGTGACTTGGGCTTTACAGATTTTTGTGCCGATGAACCTCCTCCCCCCGCCCCGCCGAAAATTTTTGGATCAGCCACTGCACTGGTCTGAATTTTTCATGCATGGTCGTGGTACTTCTCAATAAAGAAAACTTACTCATGGAAGCTTCTCATTTCCTGCATGAAGAAATGACGTAAGTCAGTCGTACTGAATGAATGGAACAAGCCGCCAGCACCGTCACCTTGGCTCCCGAAAGAGTGGGTCAGTTCGGAGGAAAATTTCTCGATGGTGGAATGAATGGCAGCTGTTGTGACAAAGCATGTTCTGTATAGGAAGGAAGCAATGACTGTATTAAGCGACGATATGAGCTTGATAATGGATATTTGACAGATCTTTGACAGGGAAAAGGAATAACATTTCTTATGTTTGGTAGTAAAATGAAATCTGTTTGTTTGTGGGCATGCTCCATTGCTCTTACAATGCATGCGGGACTCGATCGTATAGTTCGCCGGCGCGGCCCGGCATCGCGGGTTGGTCGGGCGCAGGACCGGGCCAGTTGATGGTCAGATCGTCTAAAATGAACGTGAACAAAGGTGATTATACTCAAAAGTATAAAGTTGATCTTCCTTTACACCGCAATGAGTTTATTAGTGTACAAAGTCGGAGGACAAAGTCGGAAGACGGTGCCACAAATATGGAGCAAATGCGTGTTGCTAATAAAGGTGGATAATCAAATTCGAATTACCTTGTCACATTAACCAAGGCACTCTTGACTTCGATTTGGAGGCCACTCTTCGTGCCTGCTTCTATAATACCCTCCACAGTCATGGTAAAGGTAGCCAACTCCTTCTTGTGGGTTTTTTTACCAGCACGCCGAATCTTCCATATTCTGTCCTCTTTCATTTCAAAGTAATCTGGAAAAAAAAGAACGTTAAAAAGCATCAGTGTAAATTAGAATTGATAACGCTGTAAACTAAGACTAAAAACCTAAAATCAAAACTAAAGCATAAAAAAAAACAAGAAACTGTGAATCAAGAAACTGTGACTTAAAAATTAAAAACCAACACAGTGTGAATTAATGACCTTTAAAGTTAATAAAAATCAATTATTCTAGCAGACAAGACGCAAGCAGGACACACCAATTAAGGAGGATGGTTCAACTGATAATGAAAAAACTGTGAAATGTAGGCCTACACTGCTGGTGTGCTGGGTAAAACCATGGAGGAAGGAATAGACTATTCCTTCCTCCATGGTAAAACCATGTTCCTTCCTCCGTGGCAAAACTAGCTTGAAATGTGGCTTGACCATGTGGCAGCTTCTAGGGGGACTCGTGGGCTTAAGTAAACAAACAGAAATGGGGGAAGTGACAATCTAATTAAGTAAAAGTAAATTTAGTTTCTCTTCTAAGGGGAGCTACTCCTATTTAATGCACTATGACACTTCAAAAGTACTATAAGTTAACTCGGCCCTGCCATACATGCATTTGAAACTACTTTGATAACGACACAAATTCATACTTTTGAAAATCAATCGGGGCAAACCTGAACTCAACCTTTCCGTGCCTTAGCAGAATAATGAAGGATATTCATTTTGTTTTTGCCAGATCAAATGGGTTTCAACGATGCTGTGGCTAGTCATTAAGTCCCCCTTCCCCTTCCCTGAATAAAATCCATATGCTTTTCCAGCATGTCATGAACTTCGCGTCTATTTATTTTTTTTATATTTGATTATTTTCTTTTAGTGGGTACTGGGCATGCCCATTGAGTCATTTCAACTCTTTGTCACAATTAGGTGATTATTTCATTTCACTTTTTGGTGTGTGTGTGTGTGGGGGGGGGGGGGTTACATTTGTTGGTTTATTGTTTGTTTTGTTTTTGTTTTGGGAGTAACCAATTATGTACTAGTACTACCTACTTCAGAAGTGTTTAAACAGAGGTTTAAACACCGTACCGCGTGACCGTGCCCTCAACCAATGTGAATGGTCAAAAGTAAAACTGTCCCTTTATCTGTATATGGACGGGCCGCATACCTCTTTCATGAATGAGCGCAGCAACTGACACCCCCCTCCCAAAAAATAGCATAACAATTCAGGTCATCCTCCTGCAAGTAGGAGGGGCACGGTACATGTATAACAATGAAGCTATATCTATGATGTAACCAAACTTTCAGGAGATGCGAACGGAATTTGGGTAATGCAACAATGATTACCAAGGGTTAAAGGGACGCTTGTTCAAAGGCCTGACGGTTATACGCTAGACTACAATTACCAACAAATCATGCGTGGTATCAGTTGTGACCATTAACTTGCTTTTCCGACATTCCTTTAACCAATTTCAAAGCTTGTCTTCAGTATCACGGAATGCGTAACAGTACACGTTGACGATGGTCTTCATTACGTTACTTTCTCCCAAAACGTGATCTGACCCCTATCATGCCTATTAGTATGATTAATCCCTTGAAGCAGTTAGCCTCACCACAGGTGTCCAACCAATCTCTTCAGGTTTGTTTTCTGCCGGCTGGATGTACTTTTGGCAAATACATGTACAAGAACACTCAATGCTATGGCACTGCATGCAATTTAAAAAAAAATCTAAATTATCGTCGTGTAAGCACCAATTTCAGCAACCAAAAGGTGAATGTTGTTAAATTGCTGGGATTATATGCCAAAAAAGGGAAACAACAACAACAACAACAATAACAGCATTCTAAAAAAAAAAACTCCGTCATCGTTTCTAAAATATTCCAATCACTTTGTACTACATCAGTCTTTTAAATTCTCTGTAGCACTGGCAGCATAATGTTTAAGAGTCATCACTAAGTTGTGTAAATTGCGAACAGGATTTTCAATTTTCAGAGTTTGTTTACCGTGATTTTATATTTTTGAACCTTGCGCAATTAAGACGCAAGGCTGTAAGAATTTTTTTTTTTTATAAACCAGAATATATATTACTATAGACAAACCGAAAAGCAAACATTGCACTGACCGTTCTATTCTGTGTAAATCCATGTAATTCAGACCACGGCACTGGGCATAATAATATATGCGCCATGCGCTAAAGGAGGCGCTGAATTACTATACTACTACTAGTCATTCAGTCAAGCGATGGTAAATTGTTCAACGCTGGTGATGTGCGTTCAAGGAGCTATTAAGTTCAACCTTAAAAAGATAATAATCTTTCATGAAGAGAAGACTGTATTTTTTGAGAGTAAAAAACTGAAAACTCGGGTCCGTATAGCAGCTGCGAGAAAACCCATATTTGAATTCACGCATGAGCGATTACGTGAAACACTTGCATATAGTGTATTGTTGGATTAGTAACAAAATGTAGCTTTTCCCGGCCAATTTTCTAAAATGTTCATTCACTTCTGAAAAACGGTTATTCATTTTCGTCTATTTAGGAATCGCTCTGAACATGTCTTTCATTTTGGCTACTAGAGAATTCGATTCCATTTCAGTGCAATCAATTAAGTGACATCTTTCGGATCTTTTCATTCAGATTCGTTTACAAGACTTCTTTTTCCTTTTGAGAGGAAGATTTTAAACACCGGCCATACTTTATCACATTTAGTTTAAGAATGCTCTGTGATGAAATCCGCTATGTTAAGTTGAATGAGAAATACGTAGGCCGTCTGTTTCTCAAAACCAAATGTACGGACAAAGAAAACGATTGAACTTTCGTGGAATTGAAATGGGATTAAAGACGTGCATTCAAATTCAAACGAAAAAGGGATTACAGATTTTTGTGAGTGAATGAACATTAATTGGCCTGGAAAACTACTCATGCGCATCATCGTTCAACCGTATGAGTTCCTCCACGGGTTCAACCGTCAAATTTAACACACACACACACACAACACCAACTACAACAAAAACAAATAGAAATTTAATTAAACATCGATAATGCATTGATTCGTTAATAATGCGACGGATATTTGTGAATCGTACGGGACATATCATTTCATTATCTTAAACAATTGAAGTCGAACCAAGGAGAAATAAAACACACTGGTGAAATAACGGACATGCTACACAGCACAGACTGGGCCCGGTTTTGAACACTGCTGAAAGGAAAGGAAATCAAAACGAAACGCTCCACCTCACCGACCATGCCGACAATTGCAACACATAAAAAAATTCTCACCATCTTCTGCCATCTTCACAGCACGCTCTTCAACGTCGACCCTGAAATCTGTGAAGGTGACTTTGCGACCAAACTGCGTCTACTATGTGTCCCAAAAATAAAACTTGAAAGTGTGAGCATAGAGCAAGAACCTTGCTCTATGGTGTGAGGCTGCACAAAAAAATATATAGCAACAAATTGGAAATGCGCGACGTAGCAGTGATAGCTTTGGACGAGAAAAGAATGCAATGCAACAAAGTTACAATTCGAAGTTTGTCTCCATGAACACAGACACGCTAGAAGCACAGATCAGAATGACAGAGCAAAGACAGTAGGTTCAGAAGGGCACGAAGAACATCTTATGTAACACTCAGTCCCGTGGGTCAACTTTGATTTTTTTTTCCACCCTCCTTCAGATGTAAATGTATTCACTCGTACCATACCCCCGCCCTGCAAACAGGGCGCTCGTATACGCTGATGAGCTTCACAGAATCTGATAAAGGAAGTGGAGATGGCATTCTGGGTAATTTCTCACGATCTATGTGTAAAGCATGCATCATGCAGTCCATGCAGTCTGCAGCTGTTTGTGACCGCAGTTAGCCAAAGCGCGCAAATGCTATCCTTATCATGGAAAATTGTACACATGTACACAAGTGTTACAGGTTTTCCCACATTATTACACTTTTCGACCAAAAAATGATAAGCATGATAATAACAGAGTGATGACTCACTCTTCCGTTTAAAACCTTTTCAGGGGTTGTGACGGGCAATTGATTTGCAGGTCACAGGTCACGCAAAATGTATCCACTTAGCGTAAATCCATCAGCATGTCCCGGCCCAGCGTCCTGTTGGCAGTGCGGCCGGGCCGGGGTATACAAACGAATCAGATGTAATTACTGAAACAGGCTCAGATGAGTGATCCACAGGAAGTGTTACATAACACATTCCTATAGCCCACGCTATATTATCGCGATTGAATCGCGTCAACGCAGCTTGTGAAATGTTGTCTAATTAGGGCCTAATGTTTATTCATCTGTACAATTTTTTTCTGAATAGAACAAAGGTGTCCATCTCAGTTGACGATGCAAGAAAAGTCTTCAAGAAAACTGCGAGAAAGAGACAGGCGCGGATCCTGGGGGCCAACATATACGTCAGAACATTTTTGTTTCCTTAACATTCCTGAAATGAAATGCGACCCTCAAAAATTGGCGTCAATCGCTTGTCAAAGGGGGCGGGGGGGAATGCGTTGATGAGCATTAAGTACGGTGGCTTGTATTCGCCAATATTTGTTGCGCACGTCTCTCTTTCTTATGGCGTAGTATCGCCGTACTTTTGAGTTATATCGCCATATTATTGCGTTTTATATAGGCCTAATACCTGAATAAATCCTTGTCATCTGATTGGTTGACCTTTAATAGCCAATTTATTCACGCCGGTTCAAACTGTTTAAAAAGTCATCAAGTTCATCATATTTAATTAATGCAATTATATAACACCCAAGTAAAACCTTGTCATTTGATTGCAGAATTGTAGGTCACGCGCATTGATCTCCATATACACAGTCTGTGTATATGGAGATCAATGGTCACGCGGCATTCATGTGCATTTTTGGTTCCATTCACCTTGCATTTTCATGCATGTCATTCGCGCATAGCGTAATAGCCGCTTGACGCAGCCCGTTTTGCTCACATAATTTATAACGTAAAAGCAGATAATGTAGTTTCTATAGTTTTATTATTATGTCTATGGGCTGTGTACGATATGGATTATGGCAGCCTCGTTTTTTGCTAAAAAAAACAAAACATGTACTGTCTTCGGTTGTAAAGGGACGAAAGGGGTACATACATTTAATACAAATGTTTGATACATAACGCAACGTCCAAACCTTATGTCTGAAAGCATTGATTCTTCAAAACACAACTTTCAACATTTTAGAAATGTCGTCGGCACGTAAAACGGATAAACTGCAGCCTAATTATAGTGTGCAATATTTGGACACATTCTTTCGTTGAAGATAGAATGTTCACATTCAACTCTGCTTCGCCTCGTTGAATGGAACATTCCCTCTTTCAACTCCTGAAAATATTCTCACCATTGCACTCATAAACATTCATTATACTGTTCAACAGGTTGAGAACCATCATATTCAATTTAATGAAATTATTCTTTCCATTGCACGAACGTGAAACATTATTTGTTTTATATAACACCTTAATAAATCCTTGTCATCGGATTGGTTGACTAAGTTGTAATAGAAATTTATTCAGCCTTCAAAAATGTTTAAAAGTTCGACAAGTTCATCATATTAATATTAATGCAAACTGTTCAACAGGTTGAGAACAATCATATTTAATTTATCTCGATTTAAAACAGCGCCATCACCAGCAGCAGTGACACCGTGCAATGGAAGTTCTATTCACAGTGCAATAGAACTTCCATTGCACCGTGCGCTGCGCGCCACGCACGGCCCGTGCGCTGGTACGAATAATTCAATGACATGTGATCAACGATCCAACAATCAGATGACGGGGATTTATTCAGGTGTTGTATAAATAAGGGAATAAATGTGTGCTCCGGAGGTTTTTATCACTCTGTTCAACCACTTACAGCCTGGGTGCTGATAATTACCCGAGCCGGAGGAGAGGGTAATTATCAGCACCCAGACTCTAAGTGGTCTCAAACAGAGTGATAAATACCGACCGAGCACATATTTATTCCCATTCACAAATACAATTTATGTAAAAAAAAAAAATCAAATAATTTGTTCAAAACATCCCCATTTTCTTCAACAAGTTCACTTCATGCTTTTTGAAACATCCCTTTAGCAGAATAATGGAGTGTTCAGCTGGCGAGTAAGATGTAAACAACCCTTTTAAGGAGATTGACGCGCGCGTAGCATGTTTTGCGCGATGTCGCGCACACTACGCACCTTGGGCGTTGCGTTTCGAATTTAGAAGTATACAATTCTGACTCGCTGGTAGTGTTGCGCATGCCTACGTGAGGATTGTTTACGTTCGACCAATGAAACGGTAAGAGGCACTGCATAGTTAGGAGTCCACATTTTATTGTGACACTGGAAAAGTGTTAAAGACCAGCTAGTCATGTCTTTATGATCCGTTTAAGAACGGCCACGTGACGGGCTCTCGACCAATAGGAATAGCTAAACTGTCTGAGGTATTTATGAATATAGATTCATAAATACCTCAAAACTTGGCGGTGCGCGTTGCTAAAAAAATATCAAAATGAATGTCATACCATCTGAATCATTGTATAGGCTATAGCCTCAAAACCATAGAGCTATATTAAAGCCCGAGTCCATCATTTGCAGTTATCCAAAAAAGTAACTGGAGTAATTATTGTTGAAAACCATACTGGTTGAAAGATAGCAAGGGGACTAAACAAGCTCTTATTTTGAAGAAATCAACGAAAGAAGGCATTTCCGACGGTGCGTCTTAAGAAGCACCCGTAGGAAAATTTAAATAAGTAGTTCGTTTTGTTATTCGGCGCAGCGCGCACAAGCATTAGAACGACGCACAGGCGCGCGCGGTTGCTATAATTCGTCGGATCAGTGCGCGACATCGCGTAAAGCTGCAATTGAAAACAATTCGAAACATGATTTAGCAAGTTTTGATTTAAAATTGAGATCCTAGAATGCTGTTTTTCTCGGAATATAAAGCTGAAGCTGAGCTGAAACTTCATCAAGTAAGTTTTTCAGTATCCTTCATTAGATTTTGAACACTTTTGTTGCTTCAAACGAACAAAATGCAATAATTACAAATGATGGACTATAGCTTTTAAGCCATAGTCCATCATTTGCAACTATCCAAAAAGTAACGTAATTATTGTTGACAAACATACTTGGGTGAAAGATAGTAAGGGGACTAAACTCCCTGTGAATTTTCTCTGGCAAGCTGTCATTTTGAAGAAATAAACGAAAGAAGGCCTTTCCAATGGTGCGTCTTAAGACCGTTGGAAATTGTTGTTAGTAGCTCGTTTTTTTATTCGGCGTAGCTGCTAATGGCTCGGAGAGAACGTGTCTCGGACGCTGAATTCAGGCCCAATTCAAAACATGATTCAGCAACTTTTGATTTGAAATCGAGATCCTAGAATGCTGTTTATCTCAAAATATAAAGCTGAAGCTGAGCTGAAACTTCATCAGGTTAGTTGTTCAGCACCGTTCTTTAGATTTTTTACACTGTGGTTGCTTCAAACGAGCAAAATGCACAAATTAGAAATGATGGACTAACCTTTAAACATAGCTCTATGATCAAAACACAGTTTTAGACAATGAAACAAAAACCGTGGAATGTATAAACTGCTTTAAATTACCGTTGAAATGTTTACAATGAACATTGTGAAATGCATCAATAGAGGATTTTAGATATTTGTGTTACAGTATATTATTTTCCTGTTTGAATTAGAACACTGATGTACTTGGATTACATTTCATAATGTATGATTTTTAATGACAATATTATTGCCCCTGTAAACTTGAAAGATACCTTTTTAGAATGAAATTACACTCCCATAACGATCCTTCTGCATTGGCGGATTGGAACTTTTGGGGAGGATGGATTGAGGGGTACGGATGATGGGTGTGTTTGTTGTGCATATTTCGTAACCAGGTTGGAAGGGGGGGGGGCATTTATTAAGAGCAAATCGGGAAAGCTGATAGAAGCGAAATCAGGACGTTGAAAATTATCTTTTGCAACGGACAAACAAATTCACGGCTATTCATAGGGAAACGAGATGGGAAAACCAATTTTTTTTTAAATGGAATTAACTCCGCAAATTTATTTAAAAATAATGCTCTGCCTATGTTATTCAATATTGTAAGATTCTTGCGCCTAGTCTCGCAGATGCTGGATACGCAGGAAAGCACAATAATTCAAATGTATTTGTTCAACTTTTTTGTATCCGATAACGACGTATGTCATGCCCTTGGCCTTAGGATGGATAATGGCGAAAACAATGTACCAGGCGTTGTCCCTTAAAAACCTGCCGTAAATTTAAATTTAAGGACAAGTCAACAACTACCAATAAACAAAAAGACATTAAAAATGATCATCATTCTGTAAATTGATGGAGGCTAGGTGCTATATACAGTCAGGTACGCTGTTTTGAATCTGAAGCAACTAGCACTTAAACAACTGGATGCAACGCGCACCATCATTTTAAAACGGAAAGTAAATTGAGGAGGAGATCAGTCACATTGTATATTCTTGTCTCACTTCTTTTATCAAGTCGAGATGTAACTGTT